ATATATATATATATATAAAGTATAAAAAATATTATTTTTAATAATTTCTGTAGTATTTATATATGATTAATAATGATCAATAATTACGTACGTTGCATATGTACTTATTTTCTATGTTTAAATATGATTAGTAAAGCATTTTAATTATTGTATACGTAATCACTTCAATCTCATAAGGGATGAACGTAGGCGTAAGAGCAACCGCTTGTGTAATAAATATATCATCCCTGAGCGCACAAAATATCTGTGATTAATTTTAACCGCTACTGATTTAAAAACTATTATAGCCTCGTCATTTTGGTATTAAGATTTTTGTTTTATTTTTAGATCAGGAATATGTTATTAAAATTTTGATCACGAATTGTGAGACACATTGTGTAAATACATATTTTTTATCGTATCATTTAATTGATAAATTGAAAATTAGTTTGATTGAATTTCTATTGAACGCGCGTGACTCACAGATGCATTTTTTTCCACGGTGCTCGTACTGGATAGAGATTGAGCGGGTATCAAGTATCGAGCATGACACGAGGCAAGTGCATAAGCTGCGAAATGTCGTATCTATTCTTTTCTCACGCGCGACAGCAGGCGTTTAAAGCACGGTCTAGTGAATGCATTGACTCTATACGCGGCGAGTGTCGGCCAAGCGCTACGTTTTTAAAAATGTATGTCGCGCTTTGCTATCGTCCGTTTTTGCAACGTCACGGTGCAGGAGACGCCGTCGATGAGCGCCGCGACGCCGTTCTACCGTGTAGAGTTCCGGGGTTCGGTACAAAGAGCCGCCATAGAATGCATCGCGATAGAACCAAACGCTGCGACGAGTTTCAATGCATTCCCGATGCACTCGCACAGGGATTGCGTATACGGCACTGCTTCCGTGCAATTGGCATTAATGTGTAATGCTTCCAACGAATAGGGTCACTGTGAATAATTGTGACAGAAAAATGCAAAGTTAAACTTAAATTTTTTTAACTTTATAATTATTTAATATATATCAATTGTTTTAAAGATCTTATATTTTAAATATATACACAAATTAATTAGATAATATAATCAATTTTATAATTAAGTATGAAAAAAATTGTTAATCTGTGATTTGTCACGATTACGTATAATATAATGTGACATAATTAATATATAATACATATTATATAATTGTGACAATAAATATGTGGAGAAACTGTGACAGAACACGGAAAAAGTATCTACGTCGGAACTAACTATTTACGCCCGTGTTGCAAAATGATATTCCATAGTGTAATTATTGGAGTCGATGATAAAAGATGATTATATAACCTTTAAATTTTAAAGAAAAATAAAACAGAATACATATTCGATTAAAATGTAAATAATGTTTAGATTTAGATTTTTCATGGATTATTATTATATTTTTTATTATTATTTTTATTATTAAAAAGTAGATTTTTTTTAGATTACGTTTACCAATTTTAGTCTTAATTGTTGATGATTGTTAAATATTAAATATTTACATTATTTTTGTTATTTTTCATTATTCTTCATTGATTTTTATTAATCATCTTTAAAGTCATAGTATTTCAATTAAATAAAGTAGTTACTTATACTGAAGTGTATTCAATATTTTAATCATTTTCATGATTTTAACGATTTCAGCGACTTATTTTTATCAAGGGAAATAAATAATAAAATTATAAACAGATATCCGGTATTAATATTGTACCATACTATTATTAATAAAAGATATATTTAAACAACAAGCAATTCCGTGGCTTAGCGCACTAAATTACAATGCTGTGGCCGGTTCCGATCAATGACTGATAAAAGGAGGATCAATAAGGCTGTTTTTATGCCTTCTCTTGATTTCTATTAAACAATCTTTTTGTATGATTATCAAGAATATTAAAAATAATTATTGAGTGAAAAAAAATCGATCCATAAAGCCATAATTATTCGTCTCTGATACGCATACGGGGGATTTATATTTAATTATTATTTATTATCTTGCTTGTAAAAGGTCCGTTTGAAGGAACGGTTTTATAGATGTTCATTTTATAGTCACTTTTAACATCGCTAGAAATTTAATCAAAATCGATGAGGACCATAGGGCCTCTTCTTGTGAGTTCGAAGCATCACACATTTCTGCAAAAACATCTTGATTAGATGTAATCGTATAAAAATAAATTTGCCCAAGGGAAACGATCGCGTAATTTTATATTGAATGACCGATTACGTGAGCTATTCTATAATTACGGACGAATGATAAATGATCTTTTCAAAAAACGTCACGTAACATATTCTTACGTCATTCGTGTTTTGTCAACATGGCATTTGCCATCTAATTGCCGCATTGTAGATACAATTGCCAGCAAAAATAATTTTATTAATTAAAAGAACAGCGTATTCTTGGAGATAAAGGAAATTGGAAACGCTTTTGCTACATATTATGAGAAATATTTTTAAATTAGTTTCTTTATTATATTTAACGGTAAAAGTTTCAAACAGGGAATTCTTCGCTGTGATGACATTTATTTTAACATACGTTATCAAAGTCAATAATAGTACTGAATAACCTCCGATAGGTTTTTAGCTGTCGCTAATTATTCATTAAAAAGTTATTAACAATCAAAGTACCAATTATTTCCCCGCTTTACGTGGAAAGTCAAATGACTTTAGGCAGGAGGGGAGGTAAGGGGTGGACGGACGAGGGAAGGTTTTCGCAATAAGTACTTTTACAGGTTTTAAGATGTAGGGGGATGTGGGGTGGATCTCGCTTTGCACGGAAAGTCGGTCGTCTAGGCAGGGCGACCAATTTTCTACACGAAGCAATGTCTACCTCACTTCTCCTCTCCTACCTAGGGATGTTTGACCTTCCATGCGAAGCGAAATCCGCCCCTCTATTATAATACTTAAATATAACAATCTATTTTCTTTTCAATGTTATTATTCTAAGTTATAATCCCAACATTTGCATACAAACACTGAATTATGCAAAATACAAGTGAAACAATAGCCTGGCATATATCATTTGTCTAAAAATTACATTTCATTTATACAAATTGTTTTATTAATAACTTTTGAACAACGACGGAAAAGACTGATAACCTTGACCTCCTTGAGGATTAAAATCAATGTCAAGATCATTTAAAAGTCATTTGGGGCTAGCTGTGTAAAAATAAATAAGTAAAGGTAAATATGTATCATTTTCTTTAACATTTAACTGCATACAAAAATCGAATTAAAAGCATACACACTTGGACAGAAATGTCTACTCATCAGGACTTGCTGGAATATTGGAACATATTTAAGATGCATGTTTCTCTCTGATTTATTAATAATGACTGATAATTATTCGTAAAACAGTAACCTAAATTAATAAATAATAATTTAAACATTAATATAATATTAATATTAATATATTAATAGTAATATTATTAACATATCAATAATAATACTATTAATATTAATATTAGTATTAATAAATTAATACTTATTATTAACTTAAAAAGTAACTCTCACTTTTTTTACATTTTTAAACATTTATACTTAAAGAAAAATAACTTAATATTCAGAGAGAAACACAAAACTTAAATGTGTTCCGATACTTCGGCAGATGGATAGGCATTTCTGTCCACGTGTGTACAATGAAGTGTTTTTTTAAATATTTTTTTTATTGTATAATCAATATTTAGAATATTGTTGAAGACGTGCGCGCGATATGGCGCGCGTTCAAATCTTAGATTTTGATACATATTCATTGTTTCTCAGTTGAAAAATGGTTTACGCTATTTAATCTTTGTTTTGCCGTGCAATCGCAAAGTATGCAAGCTGTTCAGGTATAACGAGTCGATAAAACGGTGATTAATTTTCAATAATAATAGGTCAGAGGCATACGCGGTACTAAGGTCATCGCGATGACTGCGCCGACACTCGTCGAACTATTACAGTCTTTGATTGAAAATAGACCAGGTGACTTTATGATTATGGTACACATACGCATAGACTGGATCAGAATAATGAACAAAAGAAGCATCATGACGATATCGATCATCACGATGATCGATAGATCGTCAGAGTGATATATTGTCTGGTATCGAGTAATTGATACAAGAACATCTTTTAAACATATTCGCGGTTTATATTGATCAAATTGTTATAAGTTCCATATTTCATAAAAATAAAGTGAAAAATATTCTAAGAACGATTGCGCACTTCTTACTGCTTGTTTTACATCAAGGCATTTATGCAAAATAATATTATGTGATCGGATGCTGTTATAGTTAATGTAACTTTTTGCCACTTCAAAACAGAATGTTTATTTATGTTTACCCTTGAAGTAATTTTTGCTTGCTTCTTTTTCTTGATTCTCATTTATTTCAATCGGAATTTGATCTTCTATTTCTGCTAATTCTTCTGCATTAGATCCTTCTTCAATATCACTTTAGCTTTATGATGTACAATAGTACAATAATTATTATCTACTCATCACTTTCTTGCTCTGAGTACGGTTTGATTTGTTTTCTTCTTCCTTTTTCCATGTTTAAAATTATTTTATCTGATCTAATTTAAGAAACAACTTATTTACTTAAAAAATATCTAATAATTTTTAATAATACGTATTATATTATTCTCATGATAAGTTACCTGAAATTATTGTTAAATGTCAAAAAACTTTGAAAGAAATTAAAAATCTTTTCTGACGAAAAAAATTAACTGGACGCACAGGATCACGCTTCGCCTGAGTAGCAACACGTGCTGCGCACGATCCAGCAGCGTGATTAGCTATTATCACATTCAAAATGAACCTTTCCTAACATAGGAAGTTTCTGAAAATGGGAAGGTCAGAAACAAATGCGTTCTGTATTTTTTTAGTTATTGAAGTGGCTCTGACCTTATGCGCCTATTTAAGAGTTAAGAATGGATTCTTCGATCAATCAGGAATCTTTTTTTTTTTTTTTTTGATATATATACATAT